CAACCAAAATATTCACATTAAAACAGTGAAGATTAATGTAAAATTTTTAAGTTGTAAGCAGTGTTACATATGTCATATATATATAACTGAATCATAAAGTACTATTACATGTTCAAATGTATGCTTTCTAGAATGTTTGACATTTAGGCATTAGGTCAAAATAATCTGGATATCAAAAATAGATATGGAAATGAAACCATTTATAGATTGATCCCTCATGAACGTAAATGCCAATATTTAAAAATAATAAATGAAATCCAGCAATATGTAAAAATACATCATCACAATTAAGAAGTATTTATTCTGGAATGCAAGGTTTACCATTTGAAAATCAATGCAATTCACTATATTAACAGAACAAAGGAGAAAGATTATATGATAATCTTGATAGGCAAAGAAAAAGTATTGATAAAATTCAATACCTATTCATGATAGAAACTCTTAGCAAGCTAGTTATTGAAGAGAACTTTGTTAATATGAATAGAAGGTTTATTAAAAATCTGGAGAAAACTTTACACTAACTGGTGAATTACTGAAAGCTTTCCCTACACATCTAAGCTACATGGTAAAAAAAGAAAAGAAAAAAAAAGCTTTCCCTAAGAATCAAGAAACAGAAAATAATGTCTGTCACAACTTCTAAGAACTAGAAAGGAAGGAATTAAAATGTCCTTATTTGCAGATATGGTTTGGATGTTTGTCCCCTCCAAATCTCATATTGAAATGTAATCCCCCATGCTGGAGGTGGGACCTGGTGGGATGCGTTTGGGTCATGGAGGCAGATCCCTCTTAAATGCCTTGGTGCCCTCCCCATGGTAAGAAGTGAGTTTTTGCTCTGTGAGTTCACATGAGAGCTAGTTGTTTAAAGTAGCCTGGGTCCTCCTCCTCTGTCTCTTTCTCCCTCTCTTACCATGTGATCTGGCAGCTCCCCCTTTACCTTCTGTCATGATTTGAAGCTTCCTGAGGCCTCACCAGGTGTAGAAGCCAGCACCAAACTTCTCATATAGCCTGAAGAACCTTGAGCCAAAATAAACCATTTTTCATTATAAATTGCTCAGTCTCAGGTATTCCTTTATAGCAATGTAAAGAGACTAACACGTTTCCAGATGACATGATTGGGATGCAGAAAATTCAAAAGAATTTACAAACTGTTGGCATTAATAAGTAAATTTATCATTTATTGCTGGATATAAGGTCAATATATATAATGGTCAAATATATATATATATATATATATATATATATATATATATATATACCAGAAATAAAACAGAAAATGAAATTTTAAAGTAAGATTATCACATACAAAGGAGAAAAAGAAATACTTAAATCTAAAGGAAGATGTGGAAGACCACTACTGTGAAAACTACAAAACATTTTTCATAAGAAACAGAGAAGACCTAAATAAATGGAGAGCTATATCATACTCATGGATTAAAAAACAATATTATAAAGAAATCGGTTCAGCCCAAATTTATATATGGATTAAATGATATTCTAACCATAATTTCAGCCACTACTGTTTCTTTTTCTTGATTGAGTCAGGGTATAAGCCAATTTTGAGATTTATATGGAAAAATAGCCAAGTCTATCTTAAAGAACAAAGCTGGGCAGTTTGCACTACCAGATAATAACATTTACAACCAGAGTTGCTTAAAGCAAGGAGATATTTGTGCAAATATAGACAAACAGACTAATAAAATAGAACATGGTCCAGAAAGAGTGTATGCATTATACTGTCACATATACAAAATTACAATACCTTTTCCACCAGAAAGACTAAAATGAAAAAGAGAGACAATATCAAGCATCAGTAAGGATGGCCAAAACTGGGACTCTTACATACTGCTGGTGAGAAGGGAAATTGTTAACAACTACTTTGGAAAACTGGAAGTGGCTACTGGAAGTAGCTAAGGCTACATTATCCTATGTCACAGGAATTCTCCTTCTAAGAACAATCCAACAGATCTGTGTACCTATGTCCATTAAAAGACATACATAAGAATGTTCATAGCAACACTATTCACATTAGCTGCAAACTTGAAACAACCCAAATATCCATCTAAAGTAGAATAAATTGTAGTACATTCATACACTGGAATATTGTTTTTTTATTGTTTTTTTTTTTTTTTGAGACAGAGTCTTGCTCTGTTGCCAGGCGCCAGGTTGGAGTGCAGTGGCATGATCTCGGCTCACTGCAACATCCGCCTCCCAGGTTCAAGCAATTCTCCTGCCTCAGCCTCCTCAGTCTCCTGAGCTAGCTGGGACTATAGGTGCATGCCACCATGCCCAGCTAATTTTTATATTTTAGTAGAGATGGGGTTTCACCATGTTGGCCAGGATGGTCTTGATCTCTTGACCTTGTGATCTGCCCACCTCAGCCTCCCAAAGTCCTGGGATTACAGGCATGAGCCACTGTGCCCGACCTTGAATACTGTTATACAGCATTAAGAGTAGAAAAATTATATCTATATCCAACAATATGAAAGATGCTCAGATTGACAATGGTGAATAAAAGGAGTCAAATACAAAAGAATACAGGTATGAATCCATTTATTTTAAGTTTGTAAAAAGGCAAAACTAGTCTATAATGTTAAAATTCTGGACAGCTGGGCTGAGATTATAGCACCTTAAAGTGGATATAGGAAGGCTTCTGGGGTCCTGGTAACATACGTTTATTGGTTAGGATACTGTTTACAAGGATGTGTTTTCACTTTGTGAAATTCATTGAGTCACACAGTTAAGTTTTTCGCACTTTCTGTATGCATGTTGGACTTCAATAAAAAGTTTTAAAAATTACCAAATTGTTCAGATTATCATCATCCAGCTTTTCCTTTGGCAACTCTTGCTTTTAACTGTAGTGACAGCATTTATGTCTGATGCTTTTTTAGAGACTCTCCCATGTAAATGGAACTACTTACTTACTCTTTCGCTGTCTTACATAATTTGGCTTCTTGCTTGCATCAAAGAACCACTTTGAAAGCCAAAAATTTAATAACTTTCAGCTTTGGGATAAGTTTAAGAGAATAGCTGAATTAAATAGAGGGAATCTGAGAGAAAATTAGCTTTCCCCAGCATGATGCAGACTACAAAAAGAACTAGGCAGAGACCATGATGAGGAAACCAGACATTCTTTCCTATTCCATTTAGAATTATGAGTGAGAATCATTCGGGTTTCTGCAGCAAAAGTAGAGGAGAACATTCATCTAATAGGGCAACCTCCTGAAAGTTACCGATGTTATTTAATAGTATCTTTGTCAAAACACAGTAATCTAGGTCAAAGCCTGAGGCCTGAGACAAGGCTGAGAAAAGGGAAGTCACAGGGTATCAGTGAAAATATATTTGCTGGAAATGATGCAGGCCTCAAAGTGGGTACACAAAGCTTTCTGGCTAGGAATTATCCACTGACCATGGTAACCTCATCAGATAATACACAGGGAATGAGATGCATTTTGGTGAATCAGGGAGTTTCTTTGTTTTGCTGAAATTTTGTGATAATCTCTTCACATTCTTTTTCACTCTTACTAATTTTAAATAACTTTAAAATGCAAAGATGGCCTTCATTATATCTGATACCCTGGTAGAAAAGGCAGGGTACAGGACAACTAAGGAAAATTTCCAGACAACTGGCTATGACTTATTACTGTGTTTTCCTAAATGGCTAGAGGGATAGGGATGGAGAATATTTGTATCCCCATCACATAACACCATAATTCCTATAAACATGGCATGCTTTCATCATTTAGTTAGAAGTGACTTCTCATAACAAATGTAAGTTGTACTTACTTCACAGAGTTGTAGTGAAAATTAGTTGATATCTATAACTTAGCATTCAATAAATATTAGTTGCTATTATTATTAGTAGACACAGTAATATCCCTCCCTAGCAAGTAACAAGATGTAGTGATAAGTCAGTTACAGTTATTCTTATCTAATATTGCATTAATAGAGAGTATTCCTTATCCATTAGAAATGGAGATATGAAACTGGTCTAATCAATTTGGAACTCTTTCAGGATGGGGGAAGGAGAATGGAATTATCTTGCTAGTACCTAAGAGCCCTGGTATTAAGGTTGACAGCTACCCTGATGAAATGGTTTTGAATCCTTCAGTACCATCTTGAGGAATGGATCTACATGGTGGTGTCTGAGAGAAGCTGACAACTGGTCCCTTTGGATGCAAACAACATTACGAAAACAAAGCACAAGATCTATCAATGGAGAGGCTCCTATAAGGTTTTTTAAGCACTTACAAAGTGGAAATATTATTAAAACTTCTTTGTTTCAGAGGAGTTTCACAGAAAAATGAATTCTAGTACAATCCTGAGGGTTCTTTGCCTAACTTAGGACTAATAAATAGGAAGAAAATGAATTGGATTTCTAAGTATCATTATCGCCCATCTTAGTGGCATTAAATTGAATTTAAAAAAGATACTAGTGTTGATATTACAATTTTTTTAATCTTTCATTTTTTAAATTATAAAGTTTAAATGAACTTTTAAATTCATTCTAAGACTTCTGATCTGTCTTCTTTAGAATACTACAGTTTAAAATGATTCTAGCAGCTTCTAAACAAAAACAGATCACCCATCAAATCCAAAATCCCATATGAAATACTTTGCCTGATATAGGAGAGAATTCTTTTGAGAAATGACATGTCTGTGTCTAAATAAAGAATTACATAAATTTCTGTGTTGGTTAGTTTTAATAATAGCACTGATGATAATATTAAGCTCTTTCTCTGAAAATTTTATGAAAAGAACAATATCCTTTTGACTTTTTGATAAATGATGACTACAGTAATCACTAAATATAAATTTTCATATAAACACAATTCCAACTTGTGTATCAACATTGTACTGGTTGTCAAGTCTTAATTCTTCTTTTTATAAGGCACTGTCTTTACAAAGAAAGTAATTCAAATTAATCAACCATGTCCTCCAAATAGAAATGATACTAAGCATTGATTAAAATAAAAGCACTTAAAAATAGCATTAATTCTTACCAACTCCAGAGGTTATTGATTCTGCATCAATGTCACTAGCTCTTTTTCTTGCCACTTCAGCTAGTGCCAATTCACCTTTATCTAGTGCAAGATAATGAATATCCTGAGGAAATAAAGCAAAATAAAAAAATTGATCCAAAATGAATCTTGCTCAAGTTACAAAGAAGATTTTGAAAGAAACTTATTGTTCAGATTACAAAATAGAAACAGTTTGTAAATATTCTTTTCTATATTTTAAGATTCTTAGTTTTTTAGTATAAGCAAATTTTTCTGAATTGGAGAGCACAGCTATAACTAAAGGCAAATATTTAAATAAATTATTTTAAGCTGTGAGGGAAAATACAAGTTTTTAATAAAGTGTTTGACATACTCAGTTTTGTCAGGGAATAAAAATGTTAATTGTTATTTTTCTTTGACATTAATATCTGAGAGTTTGTCTTCAAATTTTAATTGTATATGATGCTAAGTACAATACAAAGGATACTAAACAGATGTGTTGCTGTGTCTGGCATATTTTGTTATAATATTATTAGTATTTTGAACTCACTTAAATAATTAGTACCTACTATGTGTTGGGCACTGATTTGGAGTATGGCCATCAATTATAATACTGTATCTCAAAAACCTATGTGCCCAATGGGGAGACAGACCACTGTAAACTAATAGTTTATTACATAAAAGGTTGATAGATTTTATAGCACATATTTGCAGAGTGCTGTGGAGCCAAAGAGGAACTGATATCTGATCGGAGTCTCCAAGGGTGAATAAGAAGAGTTACTCTAAGAGGGGGAAAATGGAGAAAAGGTGAGTGACAGTGAATGAATGACATCTGGTGCAGATATACAGAGAAGTTTGAGAAAATACAACTCTCTCAGGCAATGGCAGATCTTTCAATATGGAAAGATGGTTGGATGTGTGGGAGAAAGCAGTGAAAAGTAATACTGGACAAGTAAGTAGAGCCACTAAAAAGGATTTAGAACTCTTTTTGGTACACAGAACGATTGTTGGAATGAAAATTTTATTGAAATAAAAATGGGAAAAGAATATGAAAAACCAGTTTACAGTGAAGAAATAAATATAAATGGCTTATAATCATTAAAAGATATGTGACTGTATGCAAATAAATGCAAGCTGAAAAATGTAATTTCAAATTGGATAAATCTTTAAAAGTAAATAATTACTGGTTGCAAAGTTTGGGGAAAACTGGCATGTAACATTTACTGGGAATATAATTGGTTAAGACTTTATAGTGCAAGGGTCAGTAAGCTATGGGTCAAATCTGGCCTACTTCTTATATAGTCCTCAAGTTAAAAATGGTTTTTACCTTTTTAATGGTTGGAAGAACTGTGCTCAGTCACTGCTACTGAACTCTAAGTGGCTTTGAAATTAGCTTTTGCTGCAGATTTGAAAAGGTTTCAGGCTAAAGTTACAAAGTAAAACAGTGCTTATATGTGAAACTTATATGTGAAACATACTGTGAAAAAGTCATTTTATCAGGAACATTGTTTGAATTGCAAGTAATGTCAGGCACATACTTCCTGCACTGTCAAAAGTTATATATATGTATATGTGTGTATGTATATATATACATATATAGTGATGTCTCCATTCCTACACAAATTCCCAGCAATATATTTTCTGATTTCAAACTACAGCAGTGTTTTTCAGACCTTGATGCAAGTGGAAAGGAAATTTACATATTCCAAAATCCATTTAACTGTACAATTGAGGAACTTTAATTGGAAGTGATTTGCAATGTAATGACATGCTAAAAGGCATTCTAGCCTTTTAGCTAATAGAATTCTAAAAATGCCTGCCAGTCTGTGAATATACGCAATTAAAAGCATATTCTCATGGATTGATATCAGTATTTGGCAATACTTATCTATGTGGAAAGACATTTTCAAAGGTGAAATATGTAAAATCTCATTGTAGATCAGCATTAACAGATGAATGTTAGCTAAAGATTTTGATGATAGAAAACACCAGCTTTCAAACCCAACTAAGTGAAATGCTACCTCCTCTGAAAAGGATTCCATTCTTCACATATATAGAGCTATATCACAAAAATTGTACTCTTTTAATTTCATCAATAAAGATTTATGGAAATTCATTTTCTATATTGTTATATAAGTACCTACATAATAACTTCAGTTTTGCCTCTTGGCCCACAAAACTCTAATATTTGCTACCTGGCCCTTTGTAGAAAAAGTTTGCTGGCCCTGTATTTGAACAATATTATCATAATTTAAAATGTACTTTTGGTAAATCTTTCTAAAAAAATATGGACAGTGTCCAAGATTGGTAATTAAAGCATTGTTTATAACAGTGAAAAACTGGAAACAACTTAAATGTACAATTAAAATAATCATGTGGTTTTTACTTTTTAAGCCAAGAATAGCATGTTACTTTCATAATAGATCCTTACAGTCAGAGAAGAATTTGGTAAGTTGAAAATACATACTTTTTTTCAACTTATTTAAGATTTTTGCATCTATGCTCTAAAGAATAGTCTGTGGCTTTGTTTACTTGGACTGCTCTTGACTGGTATCAAGATTACCCTGGCCTTACAACATAAGTTAGGTAGCTTTCCCTATTTTCTGTTCCTTGACAAAATTTGTATTTGATTAATTATTGAAAGCAAAGGACATGCAATATATTTGAGAAGCAAAGGACATGCAATGCATTATTGAAAGCAAAGGATATGCAATAAATTTGAGAAGACCATTACTAAAGAACATAAATGATCATCTGATTAAAATACAGACATTCACATGCTTATATCTAGGAAGACCACACATGTTTAAAGATTTCTATTTTGACCCAAAATATTCTGTAAAATTCAGTGGAGTTCTAATCAAAATCGCCTCAACTTGCTAAGTTGATCTTAAAATTAACATGTCAAAACAAATGATCAAGAATATCTAAAACTTATTTGAGTTAATTTTAAAACTATAGAACACTGATATACAGCCATATAAACCCAAAAAAAGCAGCATACTCATATATATATCATTCTGTTTGTGAGTTACCATCATAAGTACTTTATGTTTAGAAGTGTTTTAAGTGTGGGCTATACGATCTGTGGTCAACAAATTATTTCTGGAACATTTTCTCCCTCTCATTTTCATACTCTTCCTTAATTCTCTAATTTCTCCCCTGTATTGTTAAAAATAGTTCTAGAGAATTGTGGTCATCTATTTGAAGAGAGCAAATTAAAACAGAAAAATAAAAGAGATTGTGTCTTTGTTGCTCAGGCTAGATTCAAACTTCTGGGCTCAAGTGAACCTTCTGCTTCAGCCTCTTGAGTAGGTGGGACTACAGGTGCTGTCTAAAAGGGCAAACCTTAATAGTTCTTACATTTACATTATGTCTCTACCATGAAAGTCTTGATTTCATAATCTGTTTGGAAACATACTATGCAGTCCATTTATTTGCTGATTCACTTGTGGGCCTCCTCATGATTCATATATTTGAATGTGGACTTCAGCAAAATGGATTAAAGAATATATCTTTATAATTCCATGTCCCTCAGTCTGACAGGGTTAATTAAGATTTAGGATCTGGTTAAAGACATATCTAGTATCTATATCACCTCTCAAGTGGCTATCTTCTGGCTTCATTTAAAAAATCATTTTGAATAGATTTAGCCTGGGAATTTAGTTTAAATGTTGAATTTACACAATTAATTGCTATGATATGAATGTCTCACCAAAACACATGTTGAAACTTAATTGCCAATGTAATGGTATTGGAAGCTGGGGCCCTGAAGAGAGGATTAGGTCATCAGAGCTCTGCCATGATGAATAAATTAATGTTGTTATGACAGGAGTGGGTTAGCTATCAAAAGAATGGGTTTGTTGTAACAGTGAGTTTGGCCCAATTTCCTTTCTCTGTTTCATGTGCTTACATCTGCCTTCCACCCTTCACCATGGAATCACCCTTACCAGATGCCAGCACCATGCTCTTGGGCTTTCCAGCCTCTAAAACTGTTTGCTGAATAAATCTGTTTTCTTTATAAATTACACAGTCTGTGGTATGCTGCTGTAGCAGCACGAAGTGGATTAAGACAACAAATGTCTGGAAAATGGTCACAGTCTAAATGAATCAAAAAATATAACCCACTTGGCTGTATATTTCATTTTTATGTCTTTTACCTGAGTAGGCTACCACATACAGGAATAATGAACATGCAGCAAAGCTGGTTTAGACTAACTAATGCTAAGATACTGTTGAATCTAAATATACTGAAGAAATTGCAAGCAAGTGGCTACTACCCGGGTAGTCATACTCATTGTAACATTAGATTTAATCAACAGATATTGGCTAATCAAAAATCATTTGGTAAATAACTGTGGGATGTTTACTATGTACCAGATACACAGATGAATTTTTCATGAAGCTAATGAAGGTTCATTACCTCTTAACTATAGAAGTCCTTTCTGGAAACTAATTTTGTATATGAAAATTTAAGTCCTTTTTCTTAAAATATATTCCTCAAATTATATCAGCCTCAGGCCCTATGAAACATGGATCTACCCTGGCCAGATGCCTAGCTATCATTGTCTCACAGTCATGGTCTATGTTATTATATAGCTAGTTGTTTAGAATCATGTGTCTGAAAGACTCAAGTATATGCTGTGTACAAGAGACTCACTTCATCTCTGAGGACAGACTAAAAGTGAATGGATGGAAAAAGATACTACATTCAAATAGAAACTGAAAGACTGGAGATACCTATACTTCTATGAGACAAACAAGACACACTTTTAGTGAACAGCTATAAAAAGAGAAAAAGATCATTTTAAAGCAATAAAGGGGTTCAGTTCATCAAGAAGTTATAACAATTGTAAATATATTTGCACTAAATATTGGAGCACATGAATGTATAAAGCAAATATTAATAAATTTGAAGGGAGACAGAGACTGCAATACAATAATAGTAGTAGACTTCATTGCCCCGACTTTCAACAATGGATCATCTAAACAGAAAAATCAATAAAGAGACATCAATTTAAACCACAATTTAAAAAAATGTTCCTAACAGATATTTTATAGCATCAACATCCAACAGAAACAGAAAATAAATTCTTTTCCAGTGTA